GAAGCGGTCAAGTGGATATGTCCATTCAGCATCACTGAAAGTTGAGCACTGAGTTATTTCGAGGACTCTGGAAAGCACAGCAACAGTGCCCTGCTAGCTTCTTCCTATCTTGGATCACTCCAGATCACGAGATAACTGAAGGGAGGCCTGCCTCATGCCAACAGCTTCCATCACTTGGTTGACCATCTTAAAAAAAATGCTGCCCACATTGCCACCAATTGGGTCTTGGTCTTCCTGTGGGGTTGGAGGTGGTGGGGATGGGGGCATCATGTTGCAACTAAAGTAAAATATTCAAAGTCTCCTGGAATTGCCATGAGCAGACAGTAGGCCACATCAAGAGTATAGGATGCTGGAAGAAGGAATTATGATTAGAGTAAGAAAAGTAAAAAGTCCTAAAGGAAGCAAGAGTTGTTCAGTATTATTGCTTATATTCAGAGATCCTCTACCCGTCACACAGAAACCCTATGAACTTCACAGGAGTTAATCAGCTCTAGAGAGAGACAGCAAGAACCTGCCTGTTCCTGCCCGCAGAGATAGCTCATGGGAAGTTAGGGGGGTAGAGATGAGGATGCCTATATCTAAAGGTAGAGTGGAAGTGTGTCTGGAAACCTCTGTAGAAAAGAGAACAGAGCCGTTATCACATCAGTGTAGTGAAACATTTGCATATGTCTTTAATACCAACCCTTCCCCATGTCACATGACAAGAATAAACATACCAAGATTGTCATAATCACAGAAAATGCCAAGCCCAACATACCCAGCTGTGAGAAACCCCCTCACACAGCAGCGACAGCCCTGGCTAACTCTGAGGCTAAAGCTTCCCAGTGCTGGGAACCCTGAGGTTGACTGGGTTTGCTGTGGAGTTCAACTGCTGGTGACTAGACAGAGTCACCTTTCTGTCTCCCAGGACCTCATTCATTGGAAATTCATTGGAAAATATGCAGCCAACTCATGGACAAAGGTGAACCTGAAGTGCATTGCCTCCGGCATCACTTTGATGAATGAAAACCAGCTGAAGCTGGTTTTGAACTCTAATGGGGATTGGAGGGACTGAAACACTTCCCCCCTTTCCCTTTTTTTTTGTTAAGAAAAAAAAGCAGTCAATGCGTCTCAGCACCAGCTGAAGCTGGTTTTGAACTCTAAAGGGGATTGGAAGGACTGAAACACTTCCCCCCATTCCCTTTTTTTTTGTTAAGAAAAAAAGCAGTCAATGCGTCTCAGTCATTTGGAAATACTCCAGTCACTTTTCCAATCTCTACAGCGCATATGTTCAATTTTGAAGCGTTCTGAAGCATTGCTAGCTCAGCTAATTGAAGCTAATTTCCTTATGCATCTTTCCTTTTTCACCTTCCCAGCAAGGTGAGACCCAACTCGGATTTGTAATGGCAGCACTGAGTAGTATTCCAGGTTTCTGGCAGTGTGAAGCCCTTCTAGTTGAATTCCTAAGGAATGGAGGGTTTGTCTAGATAATTCAAGTGATAGACTTTTCAGTCCCACAATACATCCAAGATGATCTGGACAAAGACAGAAAGATGTATGATTTAAATGCATATAAAAGTTCTGAAAATGCATCTTCTATTTAAGGAGCATGTATAATAAAATAAAACAACTCCCTACAACAATGACTGATTCTAGTGTCATTTGCACCAGTTTTAGATTGGAGTTTCCTTCTGCTCCCATTGGGGCTACCCCTAGGTTATATCTATACAAGGGAAAGGAAACCCCAATCTGAAGTCATGCAAGGCAACTGAACAGTCCCTTAAGAGTCTGCTGAAGCTCAAGTAGTTTTAATCTCCAACATCCCATTCCTTAGCGGACAGCCCTGCAGAGAACGCAGTGCTCAGAGATGTCAAAATAATGTTTCTGCAGAGACCACAACAAAATCTGGAACCTCTGAGCCCCTGAAGACAGGGGAAATCTTCCAATGTTGGATCTCAACTACATGGACAATGTCACTATTTCTGCATCCAGCAATGGATCTTTTTTAAACTCCCTTCTTGCTACTAAGTCTCCTGCATGGTTAAGGCAGTTGTGGGATGGAAGCGAAGTGCTTATAGGCTAAGGCCCATTTGCATTTTGGGAAGCAGCAGGATGTCTGAGACCCTTCACTCATTATTCTGTAACAAAAAAATGGGTTGCAGGTAAAACTGGCTTGTGATTTTGGAAATGTGAAAAACAAAGAGCCTGTTGGGATGGATGAAGATTTTTGTTTGTGTGTTTTGTTGAAAAAAAATTTTGCTCAAATCTGTACCAAAGCTCTGACAGTAAAGCTCTTCATGAGGCAGGTTTCTGATATATCCTTAAAAATAAAAATAATAATATAAAAAAGGAGTGGGAATGGGGGAGAGCTTTTCAAAGGTCACATTATTGTAAGAAATGAAACAACAATCAGGCATATGTTCTAAGAAACAGAATAAAAATAATGAAAGTAATCCCATACATCTGCATCTTCCAGACATACCAAAAATATATTAAAAAAAAAAATGAAAAAAATGAAAAAAAAAGAAAAAAGAAAATGAATGTATAAAGTGTTGTAGAATCCAGTTGCTATAAATGTGGTTAAGGGAGATTTTCAACTGTATTGACAAACCGCAGTTCTTGAACATTTGGAGTTTGTTTGGCATTGTGTCAGCATGTTATTCTCATTCACCTTGGACTTTCAAAGATGAAAAAATGAAGTTATGAAAGGGGTTACAGAAATTCAAGCAATCAGGCTTTGAGAGGGTTCTGTTCTGTGACATTTGTGTTCTGCCTCAAGGTGTGTGTGTGTGTGTGTGTGTAGTATAAAATTATGAACTAACATTGGAAAAGACAGTATTCTAAGTAATAAATTTTCAAAATTAAGAAAACTGTACAGAATGATTTCCAAGGCTTATACTTGACAATTATACATATTTTATGAGACAGTTATGCACCCTATGCCTTTCCAAATTCATTGTTTTATGGATGCAGTATCTCTGTATACTAAACCAATCTAATGGCTTAAAAAGTCTCATTCACCTCCAGCATAACAATGGCACTGCATAGCTTTATATCTTTTTTTTTTTTAACTCTTTCTTTAATCAAATGATTCTTAACATGGCTCCAAACCAACAATCAAACAGCTACACTTTCAATATTTGTTGAGTATTTGGCACAGTGGAGTTTATTTCATGTACCTTTTTTGCCCTTATTGTTGTTGAACGTTTAATGGTGTTCATAAATTACAAACATACATGTAAAGTCAGATAGCTGGAAGCAGTTTGGTACCTTTCCCCACATATTTAAATGCCTAGATAGGAGCAAATTTTGCTAAAAAGGTATTGAACACGAGTGACAAGTTATCCACCCTCTGTAATGGTGCTGACTGCAGTGTGTCCACTGCCAGCAATGGACCAGGACTCTGGGAAGAGCAGTGACTCCATCAGCTGCGCGGGAGTTGGACCCAGCATTTGGTTCAACGTGCCAGGTTACGTCTCCAAACATCTGCAAGTTCACAACAGCTTCAAAATACAAAGGAAAAAAGGAGCTTTCTGATTAATGATGCTAACCCTTAAACCCCTTCTGACATTTACTCCATTGGAAGTGAGTCAGCTTTCCGTTTCTGACTGGGGAAAATTCATCAGCTGCAACCATTCTGTATTGCTTACCAGGGGAATTTTTCAGAAAAGAGAAAATATACATGCAATATAAGCTTGAGCCAATGCTTCTTGAAATCAGCTAAAAGTTTCCCCTTGATTTTGGCAGCATGGGTTAAGACAGCAATTGCAAAGGCAAAGCCAAATCTGCCTCTGTGTAGGAGCATCTTGAGAATTTGAAGGAAAGTTTCAGGGGGGCTCAGTGCTGACCCACCTTTGCACCTATAACCCAATCGTCCCTGGAAGTGCTATCTGCAGACCTTAGGGCACAACATGTCCTCTAGATGGAAATATTATTCTACTATTTTTACCAGGTTTCTGTTGAAGTTAGAGGAATTTCTCAGGTGAAAAAATATCGGTTGTGAGCTGAAGATTTAAGGTCAGCATTGCCTTCATGTTGTACACGCACACGCACACACTTACTTTAAAGAAAACATCCACCAGATAATTTCTAGATTGCAAATTATATATATATATCTTTAAAAACTGAAGAGAACAGGAACAGTCTCTCCATATATATATATGTATTTACTGAGTCACACATAATATGAAAAAAACTATATTATGTAAATCATCATATTATTTATAATTCTCCAACTGGCAATTATTTTTATAGAGACACAGTGCATTTGCTAGCTTTTTAAAAACATAGTATGTGTCCTCATTGGCTTGGTAGCAGATTAGAATGAAGGCGTATGGATAAAAAATGCAGAGGATTAAACAAACCCCTTGAGTCACGTTACGTTTGGGTTAATTAAACAGGACTCTTCCCCAAACTAGCATAAATAAATCCTCCTTCTGGAAAAGTGTCAGCGATTTAAGGGTTAACATGAACTTGAAAATCATTTTAAAAAAAATCTTATTAGAGGACTATACAGACAAATATTTGGAATTCATTCCCCTTTAAAAATGACAGCACATTTGGCAAGTGTGAGCAAATGTCTTGAACTTTACTGGGTCTGAAAGATCTGAGCACAACTATTCACAGACAACCACAAAGCTGCAGTCTGCGAAGATGCCTTGGCTGGGAGGATTTTGTTAACTTTGACCACACCGCTCGCTACCTGGAGGCTTCTCAGCAGCTTTCACGGTGTTTAACTCAGGGCTGGTGACAGCGTGACTGGCTGAACAGCTCTTGCACTGTCCCCTCGCTGCTGTCACCGTGAGAGCGCGCGGGGCTGGCGCAGCACCCAGACCAGCCAACCCGTCAGCCCGAATTGCAGAGGCAACGGGTCCGCACGTATCCCCAGGACACACTAACACCTATCCTGCCGTAGCCTTCATCTTCTTCCTCCTCCGTGCCTCATGCCTGTCCGTTCGGTGAGCTCTCCGACCACCCTGTGCAGCTCCTGACGCTCTCCATCTCCTTCTGGCTTGGAAGCCTTGTACTACCACCAGATGGGCTGGTACCCAGCCACATCCGTGCTCTGTTTTCTCCATCACTCCCACAGGATTTCAAAAGCGATCCCATTAAAAGAGGAGGTTGTTCTGAATCCCGGATGGATCTGATTTTGAGAAAAAGACAAAAGTTTCCTGTGTTGCCGTTGCTTTGCAATTATATTTCTTCATTCTCGCTTCATTTTTTTTTTTAAAAAAAGGACCTTTACATTATTAATGTAGTTCATCCATCCATAGTCACTATAAAACAGACTCCATATTTTCACACCACTCATGATCTTCAAGGTTATAGATAAATTTTGTCCTGTGCGACTGATTTTGGGGCACCGAGTCCCGCCCCAGATTGTCTAGGGTGAGAGTAGAGGCAAAAAACTCACTAGTGCTGAGACCACCTTCGTGGTTCTTGATGTATCTTTTATAGTTTTTCCTCAAGCATTGCCAGGTGGTGGTATACAAGATGAATGCAAAAGACTTCAGGGCTATAGCAATACTAACGTACAGGTATCTATAGACCACATTGTCATACAGCGCACAGGCTCCTTGCTCGCCACAAAACGTGCTCCAGAACAGACACGTGGAATCAATTCCAGCCCCAAAGATCAGCGGAGGTGGGATAAATCCTGTCAAGATAAGAGAGACAAATCGTGCTTTTATGATCTTTATGATAAAAAGGGAGGGGACGTGATTGCAGTAAATGGAAAGAGAGGGTATTTTATCATGGTTAATGGTCCCAGATAGAGCCTGTGATACCCTCTAATTTTTTATGCATTAAATCAACCTAAATAAAGTTTGTGGATATGAACTATGTGAATTTTTAGCTTGGACTCAACATTTATGGAAGTGATTCCTCCTTATATCACAAATGCAAGGAGGATTTTACCCTAGTTTAAGTGCCTTTTATTAAGTTTCTGGTTTATCTTGTGAGACTGGGTGGAAGGGTAAGTGGAAATGAGGGAGGAGGGCCTTGCAGGTTCCTTTCTGGTTAGATACTCCAAACTCTGTCTCTGAGGTGTTCACCTGTATAATGCCATAGGACTCCATTTCGGAGTAGGAAATGTGCTGTGGCATTGCCAGCTAGTTTTCCCTGACTTTTCCCTGACACAGGAGAATGCTTTCTCAGGACCTGAGAAAAAGAAAAAAACAGTCTCCAATACATGCCAAAGATTAAGGCTGAAAGGAATTGAAACCTTTATTGTGTCATTAAATGAAATATCACAGCAAGATTCCTCCACAATCATTGCAGTTAACTGCTGATGAACATTTCTCAATCATAGATTTCAAGAGAGCTACAATCTTAAAGCAATTGTTCTGATCTCATTTAACCAATAAAGACAATATTTTTCTCCTTTGCTTTTTCTCATCTAACAGGGATATACAGAGATCCCCAGTTCCGTATTAGGATTTTCCAAAAATCAAGGTGTTTCACCCTGAAGAGAACCAAGGCCACCTGCAAAGCGTGGGTCGGCAATGCAGGTTCCAGCTGTGGAGTCACTCGCCAGCACACGTGCACTGGGTGTGCAGCACTCAGATGATGTGGATATTCTACGTAATGCAAACCATTTCTCTTCCTTCTGAGATATATATAAAAAAGGTATGTAAAAATAAAAAAGCTATATAAAATCACTGCTGTAGGTTAAGACAGGAAGCGAGAACACCTTTTCTAATGGAACTGAAGAGCAAGGTGGGTACAACATCCTGTCCCAGGCTAGCCCTGGGCAATATCGCTCCATTCTCAAGTGTGGTGAGGCTGGGACTCAGTGTAGACACACATGGTGTACACTTTGTCTACATACATGTAGAGACCTGCAGTATCTAGGCAGAAAAGTGTTGAATTTATGATCAAATTTCATCATTAACCTGGATTTTAATTCTTAAACAAGATACCTTCCTTTAACTTGTCCTGAATATCACTGTTTGGCTCATGACAATATATCCTAGGACTACAAATAAATTGGTTGTCATCACTGTTGCCTGTGGGAACTGAAATGTCTTTATTTTATTTTGTTGATGACTAGAACTCTTCAGATTTTTTTGATCTTCCTTATAGGCTAATAAATGCACGAGTTAGGAAAACTTACGTAGGTATTGATTCTGGTATTCATTTTCACCACTCATTAATAGTATGAATGTGGTAAATAAAAACAGGCAATAAAAAAGGAAGATAATTCTTGTTCTTTGAAACACTTATTCCAGTTATCGCATCTAAAACCTGATTATATTTTGAAAAAAAATCACAGTGCACAGCTCCCTAATTCTTGTTTCAATGATTTCCAGACTGAGCTGGATCTGTTTGCAAGTTAAAAGTGTGCATTTTTTTTTTTTTAAACCCACAGACAACTGCAAAGTCATTCTGGGATTTAAAAATTCAGTGGGATCTTGCCAGAAGCAAGTAAACAGATTGCACTGCTGATACAGGAGTCAGGAAAGGATCCAGTTTGTATGACCAGTGCTGTACTGGCTCTGGATGCTCCTAGCAGGGGGTAACAGCTAGAGATGGAAGTGGCGGAGGAACCATGAGCTACTTGCTTTCTGCTCTAAGAGAAGGCTGCATTTGGATCATCATCTTGAGTTTTGGGCTCCTGCTTAATACCACGTTGAGAGGAGTTGGTTCAAGACTTCTGAAACGCACAGACTGAACTCCAGAGACAGCCATCATCCATACCTGCTGGCTTCAGATGCTTTTCTACGTTGTCAAAATAATTTGCTGGCAAAGCAAGCATCCAGGTTCCTACAACACGTATACAACCCTTTGACACTCCAGACATGATCTGTCAATGCTGACAATCCCTGGTACAGTCCGGATGGAGTGATCAAGGATGGATGTCTTGTGATGCTTGCCTTTTTTTTTTTTTTTTTCCAGATGGGCTTGAACTGCATATTCCCTATCCAACTCAGAACTTGCCCATATGCTGGGTGCAGACAGGCAGAAATTTCTGCCTTCAGATCTTTTTAGTTATAGCTTTCTATATAGGCATGAGATGTTATAGGAAAAGAATGTCTGTATCAATGCCTGCTGCACACCAGTTGCTGCCTTCAAAACCCTTAGGCGCTAACAGTGTCACTTTATACTCCTCTCTGAGGAATTGCAGTAACACTTTTATATGGAGACACTATTAAGTTACTCTCTTGCACTAGAATTCCTATGGAATGAGATAATAGATCCAGGAAGATGCCAGGAGAATTCAGTTTTGTTTCATGTTATTACAAAGAATGTTAAAAAGATTCAATCATGCTTTACCTCTTATTGCAAAATGTTGCAAAAATTCCTGCTATATATATATTTCATTGCAGAAATTATACAAAACTATATACAGAAGCTATACATTACAGGGCTATACCCCCCAAAATGCTGCCTCTGTCTTACTGAAAACTATTAGCTATGATTGCACCTCCGAGTCTCATACTTCCTATTCTTAATACCCTCCTTTGGTTCAAGAAGCAGCTATTATCACTCTTCTTAAGTCAAAGCTTAAAGGTGATCTCAAAAGCTTTCAAAATAAATCAGTAAAGCTAATCTCAAACTTCAGATCGTTAAGGGCAAAGTCTGGATACCTGTGCTTATACTGAATAGTACCTTCCTTTTCATTTTCTATGCATTTTAGCTACTTTGCTGATATGCTCCAGGATATATTCTCTTATTTCAGGGGAATTGTCTAGTGACAGGGCAACATATGAAAGCTTCAGTTTAAATCCTTACTATGGCTTCTTTACTGTCAAAAAAAAAAGATCTATTCGACTTGCCAGAGCCTAGTTATAGCAGAATTGAAGATGCAGCTATCTCATAAGTCTTCTCTCTTTCAAAAGGAAAAGGGAAAAGACAGAAGAACTTTACCCTTAAGTAATTTTGTGGAAACAGGACCCCAGAGTTATTCTCCTTGCACTCCGCATTCAGCCAGCTGAAGACAGGCAAAAACCTAAGAGCGTCATGGGCAGCAAAAGAAAACGCTGTCTTTGCAAGGCTTGATCTAGGGCTGACTAAAGTCAAGCCAGAAGCTTCCCCTAGAATTATCCAGGCTTTGGATAAGACTGCTCGCTTATATTGAGCTTTTGGTCTGAATGCAGCTACTTTGTCAAAACAATCTGATTGGCTTTAATGTAAAGTGGAGTGGGACCATGTGGGCATCTCATTCCTCAGAGGGAAAATATAACTGAAATAAGCACATGAGCAGCAGGCAGGTGCTGAATGTCCTCCTTTTCATTCAGATTTGAGAAATACATACTGAGCCCGAGGAATGGTCAAATGCATTCAGTGGGATATTAATTGAGAGCACAAGGACTGTTGGCTTCATTTCATGGTTTTCCTTCCTGAGAGACCAGAAATAAGGGTTGAACCCCATTAAATACATTTGGCCCTATCCCTCAAATGAAGGAGAAAATATGCGTTCCTCTTCTTCAGCAACCCACAATAAAGGAGCAATTTTGCAAACTACTGACATGTTAATAATAAAAGGAGAGTAACTGGTTGTGTGGCACAAATGGTCACTTCTCATGCAACAGCACATTTTTTTCCACTGCCAAATCAAATGGCAGGAAAAACATGTGTATTTCTTTCACTATGGGCATTCAT